AAAAAAAAAAAAAAAAAAAAAAAAAAAAAAAGAAAGAAAGAAAGAAAGTATAATTGTAAGTGTGAGGAGTAGCATATGGATAAGTAGTGTCCTTGTCCTGTAAGAATGCATGAAGGCCTGGCTCTAGCCTGCAGGCAAGGTCAAATAAAGTTCCCTTCAAAAGTGACGCATGAGCGCTGATATAATGAAAAGAGGCAAAAGAAAATATGTGAGGGAGTTTTTAGCCACGGGGAATAAAACAAAGAGCGACAGGGCCACTGTGATTAGAACCCACACATCACTGAAGGAGGAAGGCTGGAGAGGCAGCCAGGGCCAGATCACTCTGTCTGTTGGGTCATGTTCAGGACCCTGGACTTAACCCTAAAAGCAAGGAGAAACTGCTAACAAGAGATTTAATTAAGCTGAGGCAGTGACAGGGATTACTTTATTTTTTTGCACACAAAATTTCAAATCTCCGTGTACAATTGCTTATTCTCAGAAAAACCCCCATTTAAATAACAGTTATCATTATCATGAATTCAATACCATTTCAGTCATGTTTGTAAGTAAAGTGCTGGCTGGCTAAGTAGATACCACATAAAAATATGTTAAAAAGTTGCATCACACATATTATTATTACTCCTTATTTTATAAATAAAAAATTTAACTTTCATTTTACTTGATTTTATCAGAAGAAAATCTGGTTGAAGTAAAACAAAGGAAACTGTTCACTTTTCAGTTAATATGTCTTCCCTACAGAGAAGTTTCCCAAATGAGTGTCTAGAACTAGAGATGAGAAAAAATATGAAAAGATTAGAATCATACTTTTTTTTTTAGCTCTTTCACAACTATAAACAGTGTAGATGCTGGCACCTCGTACTTTCATCTTCCCTCCTTCTGCTTTGTGGATTACTTCAACAAACTCAGCTGGCACAGCACCGTGGTTAGTAAGACCTGGGCTCTGTAGCCACCAGTCTAAGGTTGTTTTGGCTCCATGACTTACTGCCTTTGTGACCTTAACCTCAGTGAGCCTCAATTTTCCCCATCTGTAAAAGAAGGATAACAAGCCGGGCACAGTGGCACACGCCTGTAGTCCCAGCACTCGGGGGAGGGGAGGCACTGAGGCAGGAGGATCATTGTGAGTTCGAGACCAGCCTGGGCTACAAAGTGAACGCAAGGTCAGCCTGAACTGCATAGTGATACCCTGTCTGAAAAAGACAGAAACAAACAAACAAAGGATAAGAGTATCTACTTCATATATCAAAATCTTAAATCTATATTTACAAAGAGCCTGAAAAGTAGCAAGTGCTACAAACAGTTTTCTGGTTTATTTTTGCTCTGCTAGGGATCAAACTCAGGGCCTTCCACATGCCAGGGAAGCACTCTACCCCTGAGCTACATTCCCAGCCTCAAAATTTGTTTTCATGCTGTAAACATCTCTATTATTTACACTGTATTCATAAATTGGCCCAACATTCATTCTAAATACATTCTGTTCATCACTAGACTTTTCATAGAGCTTCTCCATTCCTGAATTATTTCTAATTCACCTCTTTACTGGTTGTGAGTAGATTTTTCTAGAAAGGTTCATACATTCTATATCCTCTGAGTTCTTTCGATTTTGAGAATGTACTTCTGGCGCCTATATATTTTTCTGTAGTGCTAGAAACTGAATTCAAGGCCTCACCCATGCTAGGCAAGCTCCCTCCACTGAGCTACACACCCAGGCCCAGCAACCTTTATAAGGAAACAGTACTATATGAAGTTAGGTCTTTGCCTTTATATCCTGGCTAAAATCTCTGTGCTTTTATTGGAGTATTTACTTACATTTAACGTATTACTGATAGGGCAGGTTCACATCTACCATCCTGTTTCCCACTTGTAGTGATTTGCTCCTTTTTTCTTTTTGTGCCTTCTTTTTAACTGTATATTTCTAATATTCCATTCATTTCCATCACTGGCTTTTTAGTTATCCCTCCTCTTTTGGTGGCTTCAGTGATTATAATCACTTCACCTAGTGATTATAATATGTATCTTTATCACAATCTACCAAGAATTAATACTATGCCCCATGCACACAATACAAGAGCTTTGTAATATATGCTTGCATTTCCATTTCCATTCTCTGTGCTATCATTGCCATGGTTTTTGTTTAACGTCTGCATATTTGCTATAAGGACATGTTCCCAATATCAAATCCCTATACTACTTTACATGTCTGTCTCTAAAGGTGCTTATCAAACCCTCCTAGATATATCAGGTATTGGTATAGATTTTTCTTCCCTTCTTCTGGCCTACCTCTGATTCATTACTTTACCGTGTATAGTACTTAAGTGGAATGCCTCAGCACACAATCACTAATTGCATGTATTTGTCTAATAAGAGAAGGGAAAATAACTTCACAATCTTTCTTAGTTTTCCTTACTCAAGAAAGAACTCTATCCTTTGTAGAAAATATTGAAACAAAGAGCCCAAAAGTTTACTAATCTGGAGATAATCACTATGGACATTTTTTTTTTTTTACTAATAGCTGGGTTATAATAGCTGTATTCACACCATATATAATTTGAATTTAGCTTTCTTCACTTCTTAATTACCGTAAGATTTTCTCCTTATCAATAGAAGTTTTCTAGAAACACTTTTTAATGGAGTAAATAATATTTCATCCAATGGAAATAACAGTACTTACCTAAGCTGCTGGGGCAGAGGGGGCAGCACAGCCGCAGCAGGGAAGCACTGCTAGGGTGGTTCACCCTAGCACCACCACCACGACATAACTGAGGTGCTACCGTTGGTATACAGGTTTTAAAAAAATGTATATAATACGTGTTACTCATAAATCACAAATTAATAAAAATTAAAATGTTCATGTAATAATACAAAGGTGAGTATCTTTGCACGTAACTTTTATTACATTTCCAGTTATTTTCTTCAGAAAAAATGTGAGGAGGACAATTATTAGGTCAAAGAAACTCCCCACTGCTTGGCAAAGAAACCGAAACATTTGCTAATGCTCAACTTTCTGTAAAACAGAGAGTAGGCCACCTCGGACCACCTTAGATACAAAAAGCAAATCTTAATAGGGCTAAAGGAGAAATGGAGAGCAATGCATCACTAACAAAGGATTCCAAAGCCCCACTCCAACAATGGGTAGATCACTGAGACACAAAGTCAAGACGAAAGAAATGTGCTTGACCAAAACTACGTACCAAAGGAGCCTGACAGACACAGAGCATTCTAGCCACCAGCAACAGCAGATGCACTCTGTTCAAGCACCAAAAGAAATGTGAGAAAGGCTCCTAAGTTAGGCCACAAAACGTCTTAAATTCAGTACGGCGGAAATGGTATTAAGTATATCACTTTTGAACAGAAAAATATGAAAATAGAAATCAGTAACAGGAACAAAACTATAGTACCACAGATATGTGGAAATTAAACAGTACATTACTAAATAACTAATGGGTTAAGGAAATAAAAAATCAGCTTAAGAGAAATAAAAACAGAAACAACATACCCACACTTATGGGATATAATAAAAGCAATTCTAAGAGGGGGTTTATGGCGATAAATGTCTATGTTAAGAAAAAAAGAGCTTAAATAAATAACTCAACTTTCCACCTCAAGAAATCAGAAAAAAAAAATCAAGCTGAAAGTCAATAGAAGAAAATAAGAAATATCAGAACACAGAAAAGATCAATTATGAAAATCATTAGCATTTGTATGTACTAGCAGTGAGCTATCTGAAAAAGAAATCAAGAAAATAAAACACCTGTAGTCCCAGCTACTTGGGAGGCTGAGGCAGAAGGATTTCTTGAGTCTACAAGTTCAAGACCAGTGAGGCTCCATCTCAAAAAAAAAAAAAAAAAAAGGCCAGAGATACAGCTCAGTGGCACAGCGCCTGCCTAGTAAGCACAAGGTCCTGAGTTCTATTCCTGGTACCCCCCCCAAAAACCCAAACAACAACAAAAAAACCCAAAATACACCACAAAGCTTAATAATCAAAACAGCACGACACCATAACAAGAGACAATATAAAC